CTATTCTATTCTATTCTATTCTATTCTATTCTATTCTATTCTATTCTCAGTTTGAACCCTGCACAGATGTTGCACCTGGGTACAAGAGCAATACAAGCAAAGCACCCATCTCTCCCAAACAATGGTTCTATTAACCTGACATTCATTAGTTTGCATCACACTTAAGAAGTCTTCTAATCCAGGGATCTCCAACCTTGGCAACTTTAAGGTTTGTGGACTTCAATTCCCAGAATTCCCAGAATTCTGGGAGTTGAAGTCCACAAGTCTTAAAGTTACTAAGGTTGGAGACCCCTGTTCTAATCCACCTTCCTCCTCTTCTTGGGGAAGGAGTCCTCATGCCATCCTTAGATGACCGATTGTAATCAACCTTCACTTGAAAACCTCCAGTGATGGAGCACCCATCTAGGTGCTCACACCAACACGATGTGAATGTCTTTCCTTCAGAATTTTCCTTTAACACCAATACTTGGTAAGAAGGGCTTTCCTAAGCCATTCAAAAGAGCAGCAGCACCTCATTTTCTTCAAAACAAGCGTCCTTCGAGCCGTGTGCACATTGATGCAAGGAATTCATTCACGAATGAATCCGTGAAAACTCCTAACATAGGTTGACCACCACTGTCTTCAAGGCATTATGAGCAACCGTGATTTGTATCTTTTTTTCCTCTCTCCAGAGTTTGGTTTTGTAGCTGCCTGATGTTGCTTCATTTTCTTTCTTTGGGAAAAAAAACCCTAAGATCTATGTTCTTACAAGGGAACTGTATATACAATAAAAAGATGGGGGAATATAAGAGAATTTTAGCAGCCCTTCGGGGCATTCTTTTGAAGCTTCGTAGTGGTTGTGGTGGGGTGGATAGCTACACGGTGGGGTGGATAGCTACACACAAGCCCTCTAAACACAGGTGATGACAAGATGGTGGCTTGGCTCATGGGATCAAGGCTCAGCTCCATTTTACATGCACCACAGGGTTTGACCACATGTTTGCAGCTGCCATCTTGGTTTTAGACCCTCTCCTGCCTCTCATGGATGATCTGTAGAGATTCTCAGTCATCCGGGTCAGAGTTGTCCCAAAGGTTCCTTTTCCTTTTGAAGCCATTTTGCTTCTCATCCAAGAAGCTTCTTCAGCTCTGACAGGATGGTGGGGAATGGAAGGATTTATATCCCTTGCAGACAGCTGGTCATTTGCATCCTTTTAGAGGGTCGTTGGGGCCAGGTTTATCTGTGTCCTCAGGGTCACCTGAGTGGTGCAAATGGTTCCTGTGGTCTGCAATTTTTCCTCTGGAAATCCATTCCTACTCCCACACCATTCCAAGTGTGTTCATCCCAAATTATATCTACAGACTTTTAGCTACACAATTTAAGATAAACACCCTTGGAATAGTATGGGAGTTGGAATGAATTTCCAGACAAAAAAAAGAAATTGCCGACTACAGTAACCATTTGCACCGCTTAGGTGACCCTGAAGACACAGATAAACCTCCAAGTGGCCTCAACAACCCTCTAAAAGGATGCAAATGACCAGCTGCCTGCAAGGGGTACAAATCCTTCCATTCTCCACCATCCAGTCAGAGCTGAAGAAGCTTCTTGGATGGAGAGCAAAACATCTTCAAAACAACAACAACAACAGGGAAGTCCAGTTGCCTCCAGAAAAAGCACCTTTGGGACTCTCATGGATGGGTCCCAAACCCTCATGGTTATTGAGTCTTCTCATGAGAAATCTTTAGTGCTCTCTGAGTTTGGTGGTTTCCTTGCCAAAACTAAGTAACATCATCAGACTAGCAACTGATGTTACCTAGCTGAGACATGAAACGTCTGCAAGAAAACCACCAAGCTCAGAGAGCACCAAGGATTCCTCATTTCAATCCTGAGCTACAAATATTCTGCTTAATTAGTCTTGTCATGATTTGGTAGTATTTTGAAAACGGCCAGAGATAAAAAAATTTTTTTTTAGTTCAAGCCATCAATCTCGTAGTACACTTGATTCTGAAATCTGCATTTACACAGCACTTGGAACCTGGTTTCTGACCTAATTCAGTTTGGGGGTTCAGACGGAACATGCGACCCGTACAGCTCAACATACACACACACCCCTAAAAAGCAAGACAAATCAAACCCATTCAAGCAACCTTCAGCCACGCAATTGTTAAAATTTGGAAGGGGTAGTTAATTCTTGGCTAAGCAGTTATATATGAAGTAGGGGCCAAAAGTTTACCAGATTGCTTTAACTCCATTTTGAAAACCTCCTGAGACACCTGGAGATTATGAATAAAACCAACTTTTCATAAACGAATTGAACGTTTGCATTCTGATGACCTCTGTGCATGTTGGCAGGTGAAGATCGGCTTGGTGCAAACTCAAAAGACTCACAAGACTTTTAAGAGGAAGCTAAGTTTGCAATTGGGTGAGGATTCTGTAGAGAGAAGGTGTTCTGACCCAAACCTTGTTCCAAGGAAACAGACACCAGACAGAGGTAACAGCAAAACCTTTTAATGATTCTTTCGAAGTTCCAATCCTTCCCGGTTAAAAGGCTGTTTCAAACTGTCTCTCATAAGAACCAGCCATGCTAAGGTTGTGCAAGGCTGCCAAAAACACTAGATAAAGTTGCCAAGAAATATTTCAAACACAAAGAGTCTCCAAACACAAAGTAAGAGAGTCCGAACATCAACAAGGCTTGAGTGCAAAAACTTCTTTGCTTCCTGCAAAGAACTGTGGTTTCTCAGCTGGCTTTTATCCCTTATGGGAGGGGTCTTGCAGCCTTACTCCTGAGTCTCCCGTGCTGCTGCAGCTGCTCTTTCCTTCGAGCAGCCCTGCGTGCACACGCACCGGGCACAGGCTCCTCGGGGATCTCTTCATTATTGCTGCCAGCCTCCACAATCTCCGAAGGCAGCACCCCACTCCCTGATGGTCCTGGCCCCATCCCTGCATCACACACAGGCCCCTCCTCTGAGTCTTCATTCTCCGAGCCCTCAGCCGTCCGCATCTGTTGCTGGCAAACCGAACAGAAGGTGAAAAAATATATATCCAGATGTTGACCCCAACCATGCAAGAGAACACCTGCCCCCTTTTAATGGCGGGGGCAGTAGTCCACAGTTGTGACCGTCCTCTTAACTGTTTTTGATTCCTCTAGGAGATAACACCTTCTACCATAGTTGCAGGGAAGCCATTGCAACATGTATATTAAGGGGTTTTTATTTTATTTTTTAAAAAGCAAAGCCTTGAAAAGAAGCTAAGCAGAAAGCTTTTATGTTGCTTTGTTCTCCTAAAAACACCTATTCCTAGGAAAGCTATCAGAACGCTTTTTGGAGTGGTGTATTACATACGGAGTTCAAAGGAGCACACTTGAAGTATACCAGGAAAAAAACCCAACTCACTAGAAATCAGAACGAGGCTGTTGATATTTTGCTGTATAAAAAGCCCTGTCCCCAATTCGTATCTCGGGTTTTACTTTGGGATTCAGCCCTTTTGGTACATTAGAACAGAGGAGAAGAACTGGAGAAGCTGAATTCTTGAGAGGTCCTTTTGCTCAAAGTGGTTTCACACACCATAAAAATGCCCCCAGATTCACATCCAAATAGCAGAAAGGTGGAAATTAAGCCCCCCCACAAGACACTTCCCAGCAAGACAACAGGATTGCATCGAGTGGTACAGCTGGGGTCTTCACAAGGATTGATCCATTGCCCAGCAGATGGAATTTAGGCTCAGCAGCAGAGAAAATGGATGGCCACCGAGACAGATTTATCATTTTTTAAAGAGTAAAAAAAGAATAAAGAATCATATCCAAGTATATTCGAAAAAGGCTATCAAAAGACATAACCATTGGCGCACAGGGAAGTTTGAACATCCATATAACGGGCCTGGTGCTTCTAAGATTCTGGATGGGGCTTGGGAGTCGATCCCCCAACTTTGCAACATAGTGGATGCGAATAAACGTGACAGTTTTCAAAGTGTGTGAAGGAGACATGGAAAGGGTGATGGAAAGGAAGTTGAACAAGTAACGAAGGGAGCTGTCAGGCAAGAGGAATCTGGACCACCTGTTTATTTCATTTATTTTATTTAGTTTGTCAAGCATGTATGAGAAAACAATTGTACGTACGAACATAACATATAAACATATAAGTATAACATAACATATAAATGGATATAAGTATATACATAATAAACCAGTACGAATAAATGGGAACCGTACGACAGGGACGGTAGGCACGCTGGTGTGCTTATGCATGCCCCTTTACAGACCTCTTAGGAATGGAGCGAGGTCCGCGGTAGGCAGTTTCAGGTTAAAGTTTTGCGGGTTTGTGGATATAACAACAGAGTCAGGGAGTGAGTTCCAGGCATTGACCCCTCTGTTGCTGAAGTCGTATTTTGCTGCAATCGAATTTGGAGTGGTTTACTTTGAGTTTGTATCTATTGTTTGCCCATGTGTTATTGTGGTTGAAGCTGAAGTAGTTATTGACAGGTAGGACGTTGTAGCAGACGATTTTGTGTACTAAGCCTAGGTCAGACCGTAGGCAGTGTAGTTCCAAGTTGTCCAAGTCCAAAATTTCAAGCCTGGTGGCATAAGGTATTCTGTTGCAAGCTGAGGAGTGGAGGACTCTTCTCGTGAAATCCTCTGGACTTGTTCAATTGTATTAATGTCTGTTACACAGTGTGGATTCCAGGCAGCAGATGAGCTGTATTCGAGAATTGGTCTGGCAAAGGTGTTGTATACCTTGGGTTTTCAATGTTACTGAAGAAGCAGCTTTGCAAAATTAGGTTAACAACTCTTAATGCCTTTTTGGCAATGCTGTTACAGTGTGCTCTGGGGCTTAGATCTTTTGAAATGAGTACTCCTAGTCCTTGACAGAGTGAGGGTGGTCTACGAGGTCGTATCTGCCCAGTTAAGTTGATTTATTGTTCATGCCTATGTACAAGACTCTAGTCAACTAATGGTCAGCAATAAATTGGTCCTACATAAGAGTTATTGGAATTCAAAGGAGGCTAGTTTGAGGGAACGTAATGATTCCAGGCTGATTCCTCTCTTGACTCCACCCCCACCTGTCCTTCTACAGAAACCTCTTGATTCCTGAAGATAAATTTCAGGGAATGAGTGTTCCAACCCTCAGATTATGACAAGCACTTGCTAATTAGCAACTATGCAGCGGGGAACCTCATGTGAAAAATTAATGAGTGTGACTGGACTCTGGTTTCCCTGCCGCTTTTAAAAAAATATTTAAAAGCTATATATGGAAACAATGCTCTGAGTATGACAGCTTTACTGGAATTTGTAGATGGAGGAGGAATCGAAAGGCCAACCAAATATTCCTGCCAAAAAAAGCCATCTTGGAAGCAAGTGAATTTGAATTTGAATTCTTTATTGTCATTGTACGTGTATACAACAGTATACAGTACATACAACAAAATTCACATAATACCCAGAGACCAGACCCAACATGCACACACACATGACAATCCCCAAATGCTCCCCGCCACCTGCCAAAATGCCCCACTCCCAAAAAACACACAAGCATCCACACAACAGACCAAGTAATACTGTCCAACAGCTCACTGAGGGTGGTCCTTACATTCATTGTTAAGTGAAATTATAGGTCTGGGATAAAACTCTTCAGAAAATGTGTGGTCTGAGTTTTCATTGTTCTGTATCTTGTGCCAGAAGGCAACAGTTCACAAAGATTGTGAGCAGGATGGGAAGAGTCTCTGAGAATGTTGTGCAGCTTCCTCAAACAGCAAGATGCAAAGATGTTGTCCAGGGCTGGAAGCTGGAGCCTGATGATATTCTGGGCAGTTTTAATGATTCTTTGTAGAGCTTTTTCATTCTCTACAGAGCTGGATGAGAATCTTGTCAACTCTTAATGAAAATTTAGCTTCTTGTCTGGTTGATCGATCCCTTCACGCAGAGCTTTTGAGGTGCAATTCAATTCGGTTTTGGATTGAAACTTTGGAGGGTGGGGAGAACCCAAAGAGGGATAAATTAGGTGTGGTTACATAAAGCTCTTATAACCAGTGGAGGGACAAACAGGAACATGACTGGGCCCTTCTCTATTTCCCATGCCAATAAAATTATAGTCATCTCCTATAGACCGCCAGAGGGTGTGATAATTTTTTTGTTATTCAAAGTTTAGAAGCTTATAAAAGACAGGGACCAGGAATAGTAGTACCATTCATATAATTTAGGGTATTTTTATCCCATATTCATAGGGACATCCCCATTTTTCTTTTCTGCTCTGGATATTAATAACTTTGTGAAATAAACTTGACCTGAATAATGAGCAGAGGGTCAAAGCCTGTGTTGGGTCAAAAAATCTTGGATTCACAAGTTGGATCCAATTAAAACAGGTTTTGCATAGTCAAAGGATAAATACAGGTAGTTTTCGACTTACAACAGTTCATTTAGTGACCATTCAAAGTTACAATGGCACTGAAAAAAATGACTTGGGGCCATTTTTCACACTTACGACCTTTGTAGAATTTTGATCATGCGATCAAAATTCAGACAATGGGCAGCTGGCTCGTACTTATGACTGTCACTGTGTCCCAAGGTTATGTGGGCCCCTTTTGAGACCTTCTGATAAGCAAAGTCAAGGAGGAAGACAGATTCACTTAACAACTGGGTTACTAACTTATCAACTGCAGGGATTCACTTAACAACTGGCAAGAAAGATCATAAAAAGGGGCAAAGCTCATGTAATAAATGTCTCGCTTAACAACAGAAATGTTGGGCTAGTAAGTCCAATCATGGGCATTCCATCACTTAAGGTTTTTAAGAAGAGACTGGATAGTCACTTGTCTGAGATGGTATAGGTTCTCCTACTTGAGCAGGGGCTGGACTAGAAGACCTCCAAGGTCCCTTCCAACTATTCCATTCCATTCCATTCCATTCTATTCTGCTTTCTATTCTATTTCTATTCTGATATTCTATTCTATTCTATTCCATGTAAGGCATCCAGAAAGTATCCATGATATCAATCGCTCCGAGACATTTTCTCTCCAATTGGTTTATTAAGAAACAGATCTGGCATGTCAAAGGCAATTTCCCAAAGTGAAATTTTTTCGCACGTTACACAGAATCCGCCTTCTGTCCTCCCTTCTCTCCCCCCACTTCTACACTTCATAAATCATGAGAACCAATTAACTGCCACTGGAATTTCTCAATATGCCATACAGAATAACCTTGAACTTTTCAACTCCTCCAAGTCTCTTAAAAAAATGTGGCAGCTGAATTTCAAAGCTGACATTCTATTCTATTCTATTCTATTCTATTCTATTCTATTCTATTCTATTCTATTC